GACATAAAGCCAGCTCCACTTATATGGTTTGCTCTTTGTGGCTACAGTACTTGGCATCTCGGCTCGATGGCACTGGCTGCGCAGGTGGTCAGTGCTTGTGCTCAATTACACAGAGCTGTGCGCGAAAATCCATCAGCATGCATGCATATCATGGCGTGGGTGCATGTCAAAGGTAGCTCGTCGATAGAAGGGAAAAACTATAGGCAACCTTACGTTGTCCAGAGCCTGCAGGGCCAATATAGCTTGCTGGAGGTCTCACGGTTTCAGATTCTGAAGGCACACGGTCTCGAAGCATGCGGAAGGCCGAGCCATGTGCACGCCAGGGAGCCGACCAGCATGTACATGACAGTGATTGCCACAAGGAGGACGTACGCCAGGCCCCCCACATACAGAAAAGGGCTGTGCTCACCCATGGACTTGATGAAGGGAGAGTAGTCGGCCAGGAGGCCATCCAGTAGCAAAGTGTTCATGGCATCCGGCACTGAAGGAAAGAGCACGCTTCCAACCTATGGGGCAAGTTTGCTTGCTGGCTGGGGGGCTGGCATGCAGGCATGCCGCAGGTAGAAAAGCGAGCAAAGCAAACAAACCACAGCAAGACAAAGCAAGGTGAGGCAAATAGGAAAGGAGATGGGAGGAAGGAAAACAAATAAGAAAGGAAAGGCAGCAAGAAAGGTTGGCTGGAAGCGAGGAAGCAAAACAAACAGCAAGGGCAAGTACTCAGAGCACAGAAGGGCTGAAATTGTCGAGCACAAAGAGCTGAGCAACATTGCAAACCAACATCCGAGCTGCCCTGAATCCAAGCAGCCTCAGATTCTTGCGTTGCCTGCCGCAGCACCACAGCAAAGACATAGATAATGACCTTGAGACATTGCTTTTTGCGAGTTCCAGTCAAGCCTAATATATCACGCGCCATGCCAAGCCTGCGTGGCAGCGTTCTCAATCAACATCTGCTGAAAGAGCAAGTTACTAATATCGAAACCTTGACGTGATGGAGACCTTTTAAGAAATACAGTCGACAAGACAAAACAACCAGTCCATTCGCGAGGTCCATCGCGGAGCTTTCACGGGGCAACGCATAAAACACAATGGCCTTTCCATTCATATCTCAATGCAAGGACCTCTTGGACAACTCTTATAATATATGTTTATATATATGTACATATACATATAGAGACATATGTATATTATATTCATGTGATATGGGTGTGGCTCAATGTGGCTCAAAATCGACAGAGCCGGGGCAAACCCAGGTTGTAGTCTTTGGTTCGTAGCATGCCATTTGGGTACGGGCTCTAAGGCCACGGCAAGCCACACCAAGAAGAATACCATCACGGAGCGGGCTGCGAAGCCCATGGCCTCAGAGCGATGCGAAGAATTCCGCATGGACAAAATCCCTCGTTGGCATGTAGCCCTACTGGGACAAACCACCAGGTAATACAGGATTTTGCCGGATTTTTCCCATCCACAGTATCTGGGGAAGATGTAGCCCTACTGGAACAAACCACCAAGAAACGCAGGATTTTGATGGAATTTGGCCATTTATAGGGGAAGGCCTCCTCTCCATACATTGCTTCTCGTGTACTCGCAAAGGTCAGGGGTCCTGTTGGGTATACAGCCCTCTTCCTTCCTCCGGCGCAAGAGACTTCATGACTTCCCACTGCTGGCAAGTGGACAACACGAGACCCTCTGTGTTGGTGGCTTTGGATTAGACCCACGGTGCAAGTTGGATCATCTGACCCTGTCACTCCGGGTGTCCCTGGACGTTGAGGTACATGATTGGATTCATTTAGTGTATCTACTTTGCATACTTGTGTGCCCTGTTTGGGGTAAACGTTTTCCCGAGCAATGACAACATGATTGAAAGCTCGCACTGCCAAATCTCTGAATTACATGGACACCAAAGGGAAAGCGCATTTGAACCGAGAACTTGGTGCTTGATCCTGGTTGATCTCTTGCTAAAAGTGGGCAACGTTGGGGCATGCTCCCCCGAAACTGCGCCAGGTCCCTAGGCCTTCAGGATGATGACGAGCTCTGGGACTGAGCGGATAAACCTGCGGAGTGCTCCACTCGCAAATCTCTCGGGCGAAGGCATTTTGCACAACCCGGACCATAACTTTGAGGGCTCTGCCATGACAATGTTGAACAGCACGGCAAAGTGCTTTCTTGTTGCCGTCCCGTGGCTGGACACACTACGTGCTCGTTGGATAGTATGTCTCTTGCGATGCTGCGAGACGCAAGCCGTTTCTATCGTGTGCATCTCCGGAAGTAGCGAATTATCATGCCGGAATCCACTGTAGTCTGTTAGACATCTTGGAAAGCACTGACCGCTGGCCTGGAAATTCGCGAAAGGCGGAGCAACTTCACCATGCCTCGGATCGTCTGTCGTCTCCCATAGGATTCCATGCATACATGTTCCATACCAAGGATCGCATCATTCGCAGGAAGGAGATGTTCACGAAGTCGCTGCCCCCCGACCCCGCCGCCAGGATGATGATGGGCACAAACCAGGTTTCGACCACCATATTCAGCACTAGCACCGCATCAAACATGAACCACGGGTCCACCAATGCTCGTCTCTTCTGCGCAAAAGCGCCAAAGCGGATGAGAATCTCCAGGAAGAAGTAGGTGCAGAAACTGTGTTCCACGACCTGAAATACGGTGTCCTCACTTGACACGCAGGCAAAAATCAATGTCAGTTGCTCGTACAGAACAACACATGGCTGTGGCTCAAGAAACCGGTACCAAAATGGAACCCTGTTAAGTGGAAACATGGACCAAAATCTGCGTAACCCCTCCTGCTTAATTTTGAGCCACACCCACATTGCCGCAAAGCCAACAGAAAGTTGACTCCAGGGTTGACTTTAGGTCCCGTCTTGCTTCTCGGTTGAAGCTGCACCAATCCGATTTGGTCAAATTTACTTGCCCCGTTGCCCTTCATGAGTGGAAAGACTCCCGCTATGCGGTCACGTCTTGTCGACTCCTACAGGCAACAAGCGCTACTGCATGAACCTTCATGGCCAGCATCACCCATCGCAGTTTAAAGTTTCCGTCAAAAGCTACAAACAAAATCTGCTTTATAAACAGACATCCAAAAGCAAGCGGCGCAAAACTGCACCCAAGGCAGCAGAGTCTTGTCAAGGCTCGGCCTGAGTAAGCACGGCGCTGGAGTTGTAATCAATGTCAATGGCAATCCACACTGCATTGAGAGCAACCATAGTAACCGTGAGGTTGTCGAACACGTAATGCCTTGCGACACTTTGGCAGAAGCCGCTTGTGTGATAATGGTCGAAGACGTTGTACTGTGGCCGCAACAAGGCTTTCCTGGCCCGCTCTTTAAAGGCATCTTTGTCTTGAAGACCAGGCCGCAGTTGAGCCACAGGCTGTACAGGTTTGCTCTTCGGAGCACTTCGGTGGCTCTTCTTAGTATGCCTCAGGGATCAGCTTGCTGAGTCCAGCCTTCCTCGCCAGTTCTCTTGGGGTCAACGTTTCTTGCAAGGATGTACTTGCAAGAAAAGCAACACCAGGATCAAGTTTGGGCACATGCCTAGCAGCGACTTGGACACTGTTCATACAAATGTCCCTGCCCAACAGAAGCCTGCGTCCAGACGCCGAAGCTTACATTTGACAATGCAACTTTGATCTTGCACTCAGAAAGCTCTTAGACTTAGACGCGTTACAGACAAACACGCGCGCACAGAAACACACAGACAGATAGACGGACGGACGGACGGACCGACGGACAGACAGACAGACACAGGCAGGCAGGCAGACAGACAGATAGACAGACAGCCAGACACACAGAGACCGACAGGCAGGCAAGCAGGCAGGCAAGACAGAGAAACAGATCGACAAACACGGACAGGGACAGGCAGAGAGAGAGGGAGCTAGATCGACAGAGACGGACAGGGACAGGCAGAGAGACAGACAGACACACAGACAGACGGACAGACAGACGGACAGAAAGACGGACAGACAGACAGACGGACAGACAGAGAGACAGAGAGAGACAAAGAGAGACAAAGAGAGACAAAGAGAGACAAGGAGAGACAAGGACAGACAAAACGAGACAACGAGAGACACAGAGAGACAAAGACAAAGAGAGACAAAGAGAGGCAAAGAAAGACAAAGAGAGACAAAGCGAGACAAAGAGAGACAAAGAGAGACAAAGAGAGACAAAGAGAGACAAAAAGAGACAGAGAGAGACAGGCAGGCAGAGAGGCAGAGAAAAGACAGGCAGGCAGAGAGGCAGAGAAAAGACAGGCAGGCAGACAGACGGACAACCGGACGACGGAGAGACAAACACACGGGCAAACGGACGGAAAGATGGATTGACGGACAGACAGACAGAGCGAGAGAGAAAGAGAGAGAGAGAGAGGGAGAGAGAGACACAAACAAATAGAGACGGGCATAGACACAAAAAGAGGTGAGAGACACACACGAGACAGGAGAACTGAGAAAGAGATAGAGAGAGCAAAAACAGAGAAGCGAACAAAGGGAGAGATGAAGCAAGTGCTCATGTTAAGGACACACACACACACGCAGTGTCCCGGATGCAACGACATGAGGAGTATCCTCTAGGGCGCTCTCGCCTGGAAAAGTCCAAATCAGTCTGAGCGTGGCTGTCCCGCAAGCTCTTATCGGTCTGCGCGGACATCTCCCGCACCCTCTTGAGCTTCTTGACTTTCAAGGAGATACTTTGCTCATCTTCGTTGCGAATGGCAGTCTCGTCAAACTGCACCACTTTGACCTTCTTGCCCTCCTCCACAACAAATTGAAACGCACCGAGCAACAGGCCCCAGGTTGCAGATGAGGAATGTGTTGAAGTTGTCGAGCCTAGTTCTATATAATACATGGCGGACCACTTCGCAGCATCTTGGGGTGTGTTTCTCTGATAGTCTTGGGAATTTGCAGGTGCCGGGCATCAGATCAGGCCATTTGGCAAATGAGCCTTGCTTTGATTATCTCCTTGATCATGTTCTCCGGCCTTGTGCGAAGCTTCCGCTGCGTGAACATGCGTGAACAGTTGATTCCGCAGGCACGTTTCTTTTACAACTGCTTCAGCAAGCTTTCGTGGGCACATGTCAAATGAAGGGCACGAAGCATGGACATCGGCATGGGCCGTACTTTTTGAGCTCAGCTGGTGAAGCATGAGGCAGATCAATCCCTTCCCGCTATCAATAAATGAACCCAATGATTAATCTTTTCCAGACCCCCCTTAAACCAACACTAAAGTAGAATTAGCCAACACGCAACCAATTTTAAACTTCTAAACCAACAAATCTCCGCCACAACTCCAAACGTGTACCCGGGATCTCCGACGACTCCCCAACATCATTTGAACGGTCGTTGTGAATTCATGTGAGCCCTAAACGTGTCATGATTTGCTATGTCGTATCATACTGCTTACGCCACCAGCTTACGCCACCTTACGCGTGTGGAATTTTTGCTTACGCGACACATTTGGAGGTTTTGCTTACGCCACCAGCTTACGCCACCTTACGTGCGTGGAGTTGTTTCCTTACACGCTGGTCGATATGACATGACTCTTACTAAACATGTACACGGAGGTTTTGGACGCCGCTCATGTGTTGAATTATCCTATTTATGTTGCCTTTTAAACAAATATGCTTACACCCAAAAACACGTCTCGAACCATTCAGTATATAGCAGGCAGCTGGACATCCTACTGTGGAGTCCGGCTCCAACAAACAGTTCTTTCACTCACTACGTTGGCCACGCCAACCAGAATTCCACCTCCACATTTTGAAGCGATTGACGAACCAAAAACAACACGTCCACGTCCTCTCCTTGTCTGAGTCCTTGGTCTCCAGCAGCTCGGCGTCGAAAGGCTCCACCAAGGTCTCCGGATCCTTGGCCTCCGACTCGAAGTCCACAGCGCAGGCGGTCTCGTACTGATCTGTCATCATGGGGAGGTGATCCAGCTGCAAGTGCTGCTGCACCTTGCTGACCTCTTGCATCAGCACCTGCAAGCTTGTTCGACAACAGGTCTCGACTCTGGACCACAAGGACTTTATGATTGAGTTGGGCAGCCTGTGAACAGCTCAGTGTCAGCATTCTTACGCAGAAAGAATGGACGACATCACAGCTACTCCAGAGCAAATTCCCCAGCATCCTTTCCGTATCGCTGATCAATCAAAGGGGTCTCCAAGGTACATGCCCTTTGTGGGGGTCTGGCCGTACTGGACAGCGTCCCCTGCACTGCCCGCATCATCCGCATTGATGCAGATGATGTGGCGGAGGGGGGGGGGGGAGTGGTAGGCGGCCTGCAAACTGGAACATGTATATATATATATATTTATGTATATATGTATACAAATATATATATATATATATATACAAATATACAATATGTATGTATGTGTATACATATATATATATATATGTTATATCTTCCCTCGGATCTGCCGACTGGCCCGGTGTCTCCACCTGAAAGTCCTCCTGGAGCACATGCTGCGACCGCCTGACCTCCGCGAAGATGGGCGTCAGATCCACCGGAGGGGCCTGACGTGGGACACGTGGGACACGTGGTCAAGTCAGACACGAGCTGGAATGCTTTACAAACCTTACATTGAAAATTATTCTGTCAACAAAGCGATCTTTGACCCACCAAATGCTGCAATCTTCCAACATGCTTGTAAGACTGCTCTCACTGTCTGATCCTCACTACATGGGGGCTGATCTTTATTTCTGTCCCAACAGGAGGGACAAACGTGTTGTTGTTGCCCTGGGCTCGGCCTGGGCCGCCTGCAGCTCGGAGAGGGCCAGGGACAGGTCGGGGGGGCAGGTCTGCTGAAGCTCGCGGACCTTCTGCAGCACCTGCATCGTCTGCACGTCCAGCATCTTCCTCTCCGTGCACGAAACAAAAGCCGGCAACCAAGCAACTGGCCAACAAGGCAACCAAGCAACCTACCACAGGAATGGCGCATTTTCCGAAGGACCTCGATCAAAGGGAAGGGGACTCGGGAGCCAAGGGCGGCCAACTATACCGGCCAGCCAACCATCTTCCCACACGAGAGAAAATCAGCAACGGGGCCAAAGGATGCCAGAGGGCCAACCAGACCGGCAAGAACGCAAAAGTGGATGCAAGCCACGATCAAGGGCCAAGGGGCCAAGGCCAAGGGCCTAAGGGTACAAGGGGTTGAGGGGACTGGGGAGACCAAGCAAGAATCCCTAGGGCGCCAAGTAGCATTGCATCACCCAACAGAAGGGCAACAAGCATTCCACAAGCCCAAACAAAGAAGCAAACAAGCAAGCCCTGGTATCTAAAATTGATCCTTGACCGATTGCACATCTGGCCTTACCTGGGGGAAGAAATGGTCAAACATTTGGCTCAATGGCTCAATGGGTGCCAGGCTGCTGCATATCGATCTTCCCCGCCACCTCCGAAGCGACTCCGATCCACGAAAGGAACCAATGTGGGCAGTCCCAAGGAAACAGACTGAGAGTCGCCTTGTGAGGCGGACATACGGACACTTTTCTCTGCTTTGGCTGCTGTACATGGAAGTGCCTGAAGCTAGCGCCAATCCATGTGATCCCTTTTAGGGTTTTGCAGGTTTTGGGTTAGGGCTTTTTAGGGCTTTAGGGTTGGGGCTGTTGGATTCCGCAAAGGGCTAGCTTTCGGTTCCTGAGTTTGCAACTTTGGGAACCGGGACACTAGTCGGAGCTAAGCTCTTGAGAGCCCCAAGAGACTGGCCCTGCTTGGATTTTGTGCTTTTTCGCTTGTTTCTTCCCGCTGGCCGTGGGAAAATTGGGGACCCGACAACTGGTTTCCGTCTTGCTTCACCCCCCCAAAACTCCAAACAAAAAAGAAGAAGAAGAAGCAGAAAGGTACACTCACAAAGCGAGTATAACAACATACAAATGATACGCTGGGATTTTGGTTCCCCATCTGCTTGCCTGCCCTGGGACACAGCCAACGAAAACCAGATCATCAAAGGTCAAAGGAGCGCTGGGTGCGTATGTGTGTGCGCGTGTAAGCATCAATTCCAAATCCAAAGGTTCCACGGTGTAGACTGTCTCCAGGTTTCCAAGCTGCTCACAAAGCAACCATGGTCTGTGTCATAGGGTCTCCAGTCTGCAGGCTCAGCATGCAATCATCAGGCGTATCACAAGACGGAGGGCAAAGGCTGCAAGGACAAATTCTGAGACAGCGCCAGTGAGAAAGTAACCAGGGCAGCCTGAGATCTTAACCGGGGGAGTCAAAGCACTAGAGAACACACCTTCCCCACCAGTGTCCTTGCACTTACGCTCCAAAAGTGTCCAGCATTGCCTCGAGTAAGCCCCCAACGACAAACTGGAGCCTGCTGCATGAACATGTCCATGTCAGTCTTCTTCTGCACTTTGTTCAGCTGCTCCGACATCTTCGCGAGCTGCTCGTGAATTTGCACAATCTGCTCCTCCCTTCGAAGAACCAGCCTAGTGCCGTCTGTGACCGGGCAAGGCGTTCAAACGTGAGGATAGCTAAACAGCCAACCTAACACGTGCACATGGCCACGATGAACGTTCATTGTGCCCTAACGGACGTGCGAATTTGGCGAGCAACTCCCATCTTCACATTGGAATTTGGCCAGTGCACCGCATTTCCTCCCGTTTCAACCGTATGCTATGGAAATTCATGACTACTTAACAGCATTAGTTGCGCAGCAAACAAAAACAAGGCAAACAATTCACGCTATCCAACGCAATTTCAGCGGCCTGCGGTTGGCTTCGCTCTTGTCGCTGGACCTGCCCTCCGGGGATCGGGAGCGTTTCTCGACACTGGTAAAGCCGTGCATCTGCCCAGCCAGCGCATCCAGCTTGTCCGAAATATCCTTGCCCGGCATCAACAAAGAATTCCGCACTTAAAGCGTCAAGGATGCTCGATGACAAACATAGGAGCCAAATCTGCGAGGACCACTGGAGTTAACACAGAAGAGGTGCCTGGGTCACTCTCAGTATCTGATGATGTCATGCTTTCAAGCCTTCAGGCAAACAAACGCAACCGTATATAAATATACTGTACACCCACACCCACACAACACGCAGGCACCACCACCAAAAGGAGACATGCCGAACGTCCTGCTGGTGGCTATCCACCAGCTCTGCCACTTCAGATCGAATGCTCTCTGCCGTCTGCTTCATCTCTGAGCGGACATTCAATAAAATCTCGTCCCCCAGGAAGCCCAAGCCTTGCGAATGCGTGGCTCGCATGGAGGGGCCGAATTGCCCACAATCTGACAGGAGCCTCTAATTCATGTTTGCCCTCAATGCCGGATAAAGTCAGTGAGTGTCCTAACGTTGCACCCCGTGTTCGTGGTGATTGCTGCTGCTTCTTCAGGGATTTTAAAGGCAACTGATTTTTGTCGACATTTGTGCACCTGCTCGTTGCTGTTTCGGCTGTATGTGACTGGCTCGGTGCGGTTTCTGAGCATTCACTTTGCCAGTGCCATCAGGTCAGTCAGCGCCACATGCCTGTGTAATATCCTGATTCAGAGCCATAGCAAGGGCAGCCATTGATGCCTTCTGGTAAGTGTTGGTGCCGATTGGGCGCCATTAAGGATGATGATGGACCATCAAGGGCCATTGCCTTCTGATGGCTCCTCTTGCAAAGCGGCTCTAATTCACTTTTGGAATGCAGCACCAATATCTGCATATTCAAAGTTTTCTGGACCTTCTCACCAGAAAGCTAATAAACAAAGCAACAAGGCTTATCTTGGCGAAGCCAACAAGAAAGGCCAAGAACTGGGTGGAAATCTGCCCCTTCAGCCCTGCCTTGTCTGCAAAACTCCAAGGCCTCTGCATAGGCAGCCTCCTTACCCCGATTGAAGGCCTGTACATTGGGATTCCGCCGAGGGGCCTGGGAGCGGCAATCAAAATCAGCAAGTCGCACATATATCATTTATCCACAAGCCACTGGCCGCTGGCTTCTCACAAATCTGCCCGGATTTGAGTTTTTAGCACCTATAATGATGCATGTGTCGGATAATGATTCACTTGCCCTCAATCACCGCAATCACCCCCAGAATGGCACCAGTCAAACAACCAAACAATGTGTTTCTGAAACGCTTCAAGTGCTAACACCCTGACCATTGTGAAGGCAACATGATTTGCTTACATCTACCTCACGGGCACGAATGCCTCCAGGTTGAAAGACATGTGACCAAAAAGCATGACACCATCAGCAGAACTCGAGTTGGCCGAAAACCCCTCAAGAACTGCTACGTAAATGTTATCCAAGAGGGGTCATGTGTTCATACTGGCGCGTGGAGTGACGCTGTTCTTGCTGCTTCTCAATCTATTGGCTGGTGTGTCAGATGACTACAGCTCTTTACCCAATGGCATGTCTCATTCAATTGCAAAATACATAAGCACAGGATCGATACCAAAGCACGCGCATACAGAATATGATATGTAGTCAAGCCATGTCGCGGTTGTTTATTTCTCATGTCGTCTGTTCTGAAAAAAGGAATTGTGTGTGTGTGTGTGTGTGTCTGTGTGTGTGTGTGCGTGTCTTCAACTCAACGAATCACAAATACAGCTGTTTTAAGTTTGTATATTGTTTATGTTCGTTAAACAAAATCACATAGTCTTGTGTATTCTGGGAATAGCTCTGTCAGTTCAGCAAGCTCCAAACAGTGTCAATAGGCGACTGCTAGGCGGCTGTAGATACTATCTGTTGCACATCCAAGGATAAAATAATCTAGAGTTCACGAGTCATACCATCTGTTGAAACGGAAGCCTGCGTCACGTACCTAACCACGCCAAGTTGCTCGTTCGATGTATGATATATTCAGCGAGTCACTGCCAGGCATGATGCATATATCTCAGGACTGATGCGCTGGAATCAATGATGTTGGCTGGGCTAAGCGCTTTGTGATCCAAAAAACTACCCTGGCTGCACATCATCCAAACTGAATCACGCAGGAAGGTAAGCAGAGTGTGTGTGTGTGTGCGTGTGTGTGTGTGTGTGTGTGTGTGTGTGTGTGTGTGTCTGCGTAAGGGAGTTGGATTGCATGGCTCGTGGATAGTTGGACACTGAACGCCAAGCATGCAGCGAGTCACGTGATCAGTTTGTACTTCAATATAATAGCTGTGATTGAAAGCAGCTGCAGCAGGCGAGCACAGGAAGGACAATGGCTAGCTAATTGCAACGACCAAAGATAGCCATGGGCAAACATCGGAGACATTCTGCTCGGCGACTGCGACAAAGACAAATTTGGCAAATGGAGCCCAGCAATGGCCCATTCATCGAAAGGCCACATCAATCCGAAGAGATTCCAGAAGGCTAGTCCTGTACACCTGTTTCATGGGGCAAGCAACCCTCTGTGAATGCAAGGGAGAAGCAAACCAGCAATGCAAGCGGCGCACTGTGCTTTCTAATTGCAGCCAAAATCTCAGAATGTGCTGACCACTGTTCAGCGGCCGTAATTGCATGTCGGTCCGTTGACAATCTTGCATTCGGCTGGAAAGCAAATCCACAAACAAAAGTAAGCAGATCTACATATCTTGAGGTCGCATGACTCGGGGTGCACCGGTCTTGTGCGAATGCCGAGGATCCTTTCGGCAGGTGAGAGTGGCTCACAAGCCCGTCTTGGACAGCGCAGAGGAGCGTTCGGCCTAGTACGAGCCTGGCAGAGGCATGCCCATCTGTCCTGGCCGCATTCCTGGCGATCGCCCGGGCTCTTCTGGAGAGGACAACCGTAGCTTGACGCTTGCCCTCCGAAATTTGTGGTCAGCATTAATTTTCGTAATCAGCTCATTCCATTGATGGGGTTCTGACGTATACAATTTCGCGGGACTCATGCTATGTCTAGCTGTTGACCCCTCCCAAAAATGGAACACATCTTCAATCCCGGCCTGCGTGTCATGCTTGCTGCGGCTTGAGCTGCGGTTCGTTTCTTTAGGCCCGGAGTTTTGTTTCGGACACTCTTTGGCAGACCCGAGCCATGTGCAAATCGTCGCAAGCACATGGCCAATGATGATGTGCGGATCACGCTTACTTGACAAGGTAAGCACACTTGGTGCATATTAACACAATGCAATTTGACAAAAAGGAACACACAACAAACACCATGTCCGACACATTTGTCCAAGAAGCAGCAGCTACTCCTAGATCAAAGCAATTTGGACAACACACACTACTGAATTAATAGTCACAAACTAACGCGTTCTCAACATCCCTCCTTCACAAAGTGTGGGGCGCCCACGCCCCAGGCAATCCGGGTTCAGGCCCGGCGCGCCTGTCTGCTGAGGCATCAAACCTCCTGTGCTCTTCGGCATATTCTGCATGCCCATACCTCATTTTCAGGCTGGAGACAGCACACAGTGGAGCTGTCCTTTAGTTATGTTCTGAATTCAACTACGCGATGTGTTAGCAAACACCCACAGCGTTCAACCCTGTCCCAGCTTCCGGAAGACAATGTTAAACCAGTAGGACCCACAGTAAATCCTGAAACATCGATTTACAGGTTGAGCTAAGTTGTCAACTTGTTCTTCTCCACAACGCTCTTGCAAAAACAAACCTTGCTGCAACAAAAAGATGCAATCACTCCAACCACCCAGGAAATCTGATCGATGGACTCTTCATCTGGGGCTCCCGGCCACAGCCGCCCGGGCCCGGGCCCATTCCCTTGCCACCCATCCTCAAATTGGCGATATAGGAAATGTCTATCGTTTTGCGGGCTTCTTTGTTTACCTGCTTGCTTGCTTGCTTGTCAGTATGACTGTTGGCGCTGGTGTGTTTGTTTAGGCTGCTTGTTCGCTCGTTCGGTTGATTCTTAGTGCTTTTCTTTGCTTGCTTAGTTTGTTTTTTTGCTTGCTTTCTTGCTTGCTTGTTGTTTGTTTGTTAATTTTGCTTGTTTGTGTTGTCCTTTGCCTTGCTTTGCTTGATTGTTTGTTTGTCTGTCTGTTTGTGTCTGTGTGATTGTTTGCTTGATTGTTTGCTTGCTGCCTGGGTTTAGTTTGGTTTGTTTGGTTTTGTGTGGTGTGTTTTTGTGTTGCTTGCAGGCGTCGTTTTGTTTTGTGTTGTCTTGTCTTGTGTTTGTTTGCGTGTTCGCTTGTTCGTTTGTTTGTTTGTTTGTTTGTTTGTTTGTTTGTTTGTTTGTTTGTTTGTTTGGCGAGTTGAATTGCCTTGCCTTGTCCTGCCTTGCTTTGCTTTGCGTGTTTGCGTGTTTGCGTGTTTGCTTGTTGTATGTTGCTTGCTCGCTTGCTTCCTTGCTGTTTCTTTCTTCGCTCGGCTTGGCTTGGCTTGGTTTGTTTGTGCGTGCGTCTGCTTGTGTTTGTTTGCTTGACTGTTTGTTTTGCTTGTGCGTCTTTGCTTGTTGTTTGTTTCTCTACCTGCTTGTTGATGTTCTTCTTGTTTGTTTCTGTGTTAGTCGTTTGTTGTCGGAGCTGTGCTTCAGCCCGTGTTTGCGAGCACGGACTAAAACATGCAACACCAGCCTGAACATTACCACAAAATCAATGGCTATGGGTTTGCCAAGCCATCCTCGTAGACCTGAGTCTCTGGTCTCCTCTGCCACTGACAAGCGGTGCCCATCAAGGCCTGATGAATGTAAGGATCACCTGCGTACCTGTCACCTAAAGCCATATGATGTTCAATTAGGGCGTATCAGCCGACTTGTCCGAGGTTAATCCTTCTCAAGCTTTGTTCAACCAGATTTACTCGTAATGTACTGGTAATGTAATGTACTGAGTTGTGTTCAGCTTCCATGCAATGTAAAATCCATCCCTTGCGGCAGGTTTCGCGACGTTCCCAGCTCTCTCAAGACCAGAACTGCAACACTGCGCAAGCCACGCAGCAGGTCCAAGCTGGACATGCGGCGTCTAAGCTCGCGACCCCGGCCCCATGCCCATCGGAGGGCCCATGCCTTTTCCCATGCCTGGCAAACCAAGGCGGAGGCTTCTGCAAGTAGAACAGGGCCCAATCCAACAGTGACTCAACCTGTCTCTGTCAAGCAGAAAGTACCTCGACATTGCGCCGGACATACCTCTGACATTGGAAAATCTGCTGAATCCATTGCTCAACTTGGTTTATGACCAAAGCAGGACCCGGGGAGATTGACGCCTTTGGAGCCAAGCAAAAGCCAAGCCCCTCCGTTGCCAGGTGACTCAAAGATGTGCACGGCAAATGATGGAAACGACCCAGTGCAATGTATCTGAATGACACCTGAGGCCCAGTGAGCTGTGTTGCTTGCAGAAACAGTGCGTGCTGTGCCTTTCTATCAAACTTGAGCAGGCAACAGTACACGTTGGATCATTATGCTCAGCTCAATGCCAACCCAGGATCAACTAAGCCATGGTATGAAACAGGTCCCACATGACTCCCCTCAACACCAAACAATTTGAGATAATTGATTGTTTCTTCCACGAATAAGGAAGAAGTTTTGGGACAGGTCCCACAGAACCACCCAGAAAACACGGAGGCCCCACCTCAATCTCAATGGACATCTCTGCAAAATTCGTGGCATCTTGCTGGAATCTTCATTCCCAATTCAAAAGTAGTGAGATCCCGGCAAACCGATCTTGTCTCCAGTCCCCGAGACTCGACCCGTCCCCTCGACCCTTGCCTCCCATGGGTGGTCCCATGCCCTTGCCCATGCCGCCCATGGGGCCGGGACCTGAATTGCGAACACAACTCTGGCCATGTCGAAGGCGGATAGCAGCAACTGCCACAACAACCATGGACAGGTCCCAAACACACTCTCTTTACAAGCTCTTTACCGAAGCCGCGTGCAAATCTAAGCCCCTGGCCCATGCCCATGCCACCCATGCCCATACCTCCTTGTGGCATACCCATGCCCATGCCGCCCATGCCAGGGCCGGGCATGCCGCCCAAGCCTTTGCCACCCATACCTGGCGGCAAAACAGCTGTGGAAAGCCCTGGTGGAGTACAAGACCTTAATGTGGGGACATTCCTTCGGGCGTGGACGTTTTCTTTTCGTGGGCTTTCTAAGGGTCAATATGTCAAGCCTGCACTCCACTGTGCATGCACACAGAAAATGCTTCTAAAGGGGTCTTCCAACACACATGGAATCACGACCACTCCTCAAAACAGAACAGAAAACTGAAATTCACGAAGCATTCCCAAATGGCAGGTACTGTACCTCTCTCTCTCTCTCTCTATAAAACAAAGGCGCATCACACGCTTTGCATTGGGCAGGTGGTTCAACGTACCAAAAGTAGCCTGCAGAATAGTCCCATACAGTGAGTGGGTGAACAACCATGATCTGCCGCTGCGTAGACACTAGCTACTTCCCAACAGGACATCCTTGACTTCCAAAAAAAGCAAGGCGGGTACCTTCCTAACTGCTTCATCAACGGACTCTCGCGCCTCCACCCATAGGGCCGCCTTTGCCGCCCATCCCGCCGATGGGCGCGCCCATGCCCCTGGGTTCGCTCCAAATCCGGGCCAGTCCGGAAGTATTCATGAAACCAAGATCGTGTTGCTTGATTATAGATTTCGACAAGGTGGACAGATCCCAAGGAGGAAAGGGTGCTACTTCTGATTACTTGACCGGATGATTTCCAAAGGCTATAACAAGACACCTCCAAGAAGGTCATGTTCATCATTGATTCCACCGGTTAAAGTATCGGGCGGATGGGAAAAGGCCGAACTGCAAAAACTATCAACCCTCCCATCTACAAACATCAAGTCAGATCAAATCTACCAGAAAGAGCAGCACTTTCCCTTGAACATGGCCACGATGGTTATTGTGGACCCTTGGTGACTATGACCTTCACGAGGTTATGCACACCAACCTGATTTGAGAGCGTTCAGATGAAGATACTCAGGCAAGTACGTTTGGACAAACTGCTACAGCTCCCCAACCGGAAAC